CTTGTGCGGGCGAGCTTTTCTGCATTTCCAAGTAGAACCATCGTCTGCCTCAAAGTCCTATCGTACTTCTCGACGAGGACGTTCATGCTCCCATCGGCCTGAAAGCAAACAAACTAACGTAAATATATCGGTTTTGAAGGGAATGAAGATGCAACTACAACCATAAAAACTTCGATCAAAGCACATACACGTCTGTTCGCCAGTGCAGCTTCCGTGTACTCGTCTTTAAAGAAAAGATCTCCGACCTGAGGCATCTCAACTGGTCCGCCTCGGATCTGTCGAGTAAGCTTCGCGCACCGGTCCGGGTTATGTATTAAAGGAGTCTTTTCATCATACGAGAAGTTCACGCGGTCTCTTACTAAGCGAACCTTCCGATCGGCTCATCTGAGTGGGAGATTTCCTTTTCTCAAGGATATCGGTTGGAGAAGGATCTACCGGCCGGTTACGCGCTTCAGTCTCATCATCAACGTTCGCCGGTCCCTTAGTGTCCGCAGGACGGGATTCAGGACTTAGAGACCGCGAGACCTCCTTAGCAACTTTCTTCTTCTTTTTCTTCTTCGGACTTTCTCCCGAACCTTTTTCCTCAGGATCATTCCCGGTAAGACCGCCATCGACGGAATTTTCGCGCGATTTCTTTCCCTTCTCCTTCTCCCCTACCTCCAAACCATCCGAATGCCCTTCGAGAGGAGTAGCCTCTGTCGATGACCGTACTTTCTTCGTCGCGGGGCTCTTCCGCTTTTTCTTCTTCTTCGTTTCAGGAGCCGGCGGATCAACATCGGCAGACTGATCGGTCGGGTTTGGATCAAGTTGCTGAGAAGCTTCAGCATCGTTATCCCCAGCCAGCGCAACCCTAGAAGTCGTCTTCTTCAGCAATTGGAGTTTTCCCTTAAGCAAAGCGCTTGAATCTGGTGTTCCTGACATCTCTCTCGCCTGCCTAAGTAGCCTCTGCTGTTTCCTGGTAAATAAAGATAAGCGAGATTTACGTGCCGAGACCACCAGCGGCTGTCTTGATTCCCAATCAACTGCAAAAACAGAAGAAAGAAAGACAACCGTTAGTCTGTCAGCCAGAACCAAAGGTCAAAGAGGAAATACTACCTCTCGCTATGCGAGCCTGTTGTCGACGAATCCACTCCCGACTCAGGTCCGGCCAATTCAGATGGCTTTGAGTCGCAATAGCCTGCGCGATCTCGAAGAAATTCTCTGGATACGCGATTGTATTTGAATGACGACCTGCAAAAGATAAAAGGCAAGGTTAGGCGACTGACGAACATAGCAGACAACACGATGCTCGTTTTCTACCAATTTCTTTGTTCCATAAAACTGGAAAGTCATCTTCAATGGCTTCTGCAAACGCGTACTTATCAGCTTTGACATAGAAGTACGAACGCTGCCAGTTCGTTGTCTTGCGGGGCTGACCAGTCAAGACGTTGTAACTCGGACGCATCTTCACTGAGAACAAGCCCCCCTTTTCCGCCTTCGTAGAAGTCAATTCTTCGAATACTCTCACACTCATGGGAACATCTATCTCCGCAGCCATCACCATCAGCATAACAGCGTTCCGAATCGAGCCAATCTTTAGCTGGCTGATCGCTACTCCCCGCCTCCTCGCATACGCGGAGATCAAACGTGGAATTGGAAACCAGAGTTTCGAATCATCCTCGAAGTACTACTCATATAGACACTGGAAGCCGATCGGAGGGGACCAAGGCCTCTGCTCCTGGGAAGGAATCACGTAAGTCACGCCTGCTCCTCTGGCATATTCCAGAATGCTTCTCACGGTTCCGTGGTTAGATCGAGTCCGGAAAACGTTCTCCCAACGTTGGCCTTCAGCCCAAGGATCTCGCAGCGATTCTGGGGGAAGAGCGTTTAGCTCCTCGAAGGTGCCATCGAGACGATGAATGGTCGGCCTGCATTCGATCAAATCAAATCTAGCGATTCGATGTCTTAACCACAAGGTTCGAGGGCTCTGATCCGGAGACGCTAAGTCCTCACCATCCTCATCGGGGCCGGAATCTTCGGCATCCTCTCGATCGGACTCGCTACCCGAGCGATTTGAATCGCCCTCCTCACTCTCTATTTCGGGCTAAATCGCCCTCCCCTCGCCCAGACCCGCTACCCGAGCGACTTGAATCGCCCTCCTCACTCTCTAATTCCACGGCTAAATCTCTATGCGGCTCGAGCCGCTCCCCTCGCAGAGCGTCGCGATGAATCAGGTTAATGTCCTCTATTGGACTACCATTCTCTGTAACATCATCGGTTTGACCGGTCGCACATGCAATCCCTTTGCCTTTCTCCTCACGCGATAACCGCCCCAAGAAAGCCATAACCCAAAACGGGGAAATACAAGGCAAGAAATCGGAGAACACTTAGAGAGAGAAAGTTAAAAGGTAGAGAGAAGGGAGAGAAGAAAGTACCTGAACTTGCAGAGAAGAATAATGAAAGAAGAAGAGAATCTACCTATTTATAGCAAAGTCCTAAGGCACGATTCTCTAAGTGCAATTAATGCACTTAAACGGGCCTAAATAAGCCCATCAACTGCAGAAACCCACAAGATTATTCGAAATCTCTTGATCCCTCACCTGATTCGGTCCGGTTAGCCCTTAGAACCGGTTTACTCGAACCGAAATTAAACCGGAGCTAAATCAAGAAGCAGGTGAGATTAAACCAGAAAGCGGTTAGAGGCTAAACTTGCATCTCAACTGGTCGTCTAGGTCGGCAAGGTCAAGTAGCGATCAACCGAGCTATTAAATATTTTCATAGTGCCTACTAAACGCATTCCTCAGTTGGACGACTAGATCAGGCAGCGATCGAGCCGCGCCACTAGATCTACTCGAGGTAATTGTTACTTCACAAGCAACGACTTAGTCGCGCTACTAGACGAGCTCAAGGTGACGCCTAAACGCGCTCAAAGATGACATCCTAGCCGCGCTACTAGATACGCTCAAGGTGATCGCCTAAACGCGCTCTCACAGGCGACGACTTAGTCGCGCTACTAGACGAGCTCAAGGTGACGCCTAAACGTGCCCAAAGATGACATCCTAGCCGCGCTACTAGATGCGCTCAAGGTGATCGCCTAAACGCACTCTCACAGGCGACGGCTTAGTCGCGCTACTAGACGAGCTCAAGGTGACGCCTAAACGCGCTCAAAGATGACGTCCTAGCCGCGCTACTAGACGAGCTTGAGGTGACGCCTAAACGCGCTCGAAGACGACGACTTAGTCGCGCTACTAGACGAGCTCAAGACGACGCCTAAACGCGCTCGAAGACGACGACTTAGTCGCGCTACTAGACACGCTCAAGGTGATCGCCTAAACGCGCTCTCACAGGCGACGACTTAGTCGCGCTACTAGACGAGCTCAAGGTGACGCCTAAACGCGCTCGTGGATGACGTCCTAGCCGCGCTACTAGACACGCTCAGGGTGACGCCTAAACGTGCATCCATGCTAGATTCCCCGTTTGATCAAACCTGACCCACAAATTCACTTAGAGTCCTATGAACTCATAAGTGAACTGGGGGGACTTATTGTAGGAGATGGGTTATACCCCTCCACAAGGCCCATCAAATGGAGAAACTTAGCCCAACACGACAATATACTCGGCCCGTTAAACACGTAAGAAACGCCTCAGCATGAGGACGTGTCTAGTAGCGCGACTAAGAGTATTCTGGAAGAGTCGGCAGAAGTACGATTTACCCGAACTACTAAATGAGCCCAACAAGGATAAAGCCCAACAAGGCTCGGATAAACTAGGGCGAACACGAAGATAAGGTCTATAAAAAGGAGAGAGGTAACAAGGAGAAAGGGATCCTGACTTCGACATACTCACTAAGCGGCTAGATCTAGGGTTTCATAGAGACTAGGTGGTTAGATCTAGGATTTGCTTACCTTCACCGATAGGGCTGGGCAAAAATAACCGAACCCGAATATCCGATCCGAACCCGATATAAGTACCGAATGGATCTTGTTTTACGGTATTTCGGGTTATGGATATTACCCGAACCGAACCCGAACTTAAATGGATATCTGAAAGAATCCGAAACTTTAAAATTCCAAAAGAACTTGTATCATATCCAATCTAAATTTCTAATATGTTTCCAAAACAGATTAATATATTATTGATGAGTACCTACAATAATTAGTTATGATATAAATAATTAACTCAAATATTTAGTCTAATATATAGTGTTATTTGGTTAATATTAATATTTATGATTGTAATTACATTTGAAGTTAAGTTACGAATAAATTTGTTTTGAAGTTTATATAATGTTGTTTTTAAAAGTTTAAATAGCACTTCTTATGTTTATAGAATTGTTAGTTGTTAACTTTAATTTTTTATGTTTCATTATGTATTATATTTCGTTCATACAAGGCTTTGGTTTGTCATTAATCATGATATGTTTAGTGTTGTCATATATAGTTCATTGACAAATCTTATATGGTTGATAGATGAGTTTCATAATATTATTTTGAAGGAGAACAATATGGTTTGTAGAAGCTAAATACACAAATTTAATAAAATGATTGAAAATATAGTGAGTTTAATTGAGTATAAATTAATATTTTTAGAATCGATAACCCGATTAGTATCCGAAACCGAAACTATTTCGGGTTCAACCGGATCTTGGACATGTTACTAAACCCGAACCGAACCCGACTAAACCCGAACCAAATCCGACCCGATTTTTTATAATATCCGAATGGGACTGAAATTCATAAACCCGAAATCTCTTATTTAAATCTAATAAATAGCGTCTTTGTTCGCCCCAATCTTTCTCTTTATATTGTTTTAACCATTTTCACCTAAAACAATCGTTACAAATGGTTCTCCTTTCGTCCTGGAAAGTCCAAGTAAGTGTTATTTTATTCATGGGTTTGTAAGAAGTTTTGATCTGGGAAAAAAAAAAGAGTTTGACCCGTATCAATAGAGGAAGATGATCGATTCTAGTTGCTTTTAGTGATGTGTGAATCTTTCTTTCTTTCTTTTTTCTGCTTCCACAGCTATAAGACTCAGAAGTATTCACGGGCCTACTTTGGTTTCAAGTCACCAGAGAAGTTTATGAATTCTCTGCATTTTTCAACGGTCGTGTGTTTGTTAATGAAAAGGGTATTTCTCCTTTAATCTGTCTTCCCTCTACTGCATGTATTCGGAAGTGTGATTATGTGGTTCTTTTGTTTAGGTGCTCAGTTCAAGGACATAGTTGAATATGCGCCTTCACAGCGTGTGCCGAAACCATGTGACAAGAAAGATCCTCGTGAAGGGTCTCTTACCAAAGACCCTGATTATCTTGAATTCCTTAAGCTCATTGCTCAAACTGTCGAGAATCTCCCTAGTGCTGAAGTCCAGTTGGAAAGAAGAGAAGCCGAGCAGTCTGGTTCGTCTTTCCCTTTGCAATCAATTTTTCTCTTATCAAGTTGATTAGTCTCCAATGAATGAATGGAACTTGCTGACCAATTGCTTTTTAGGTGCTTCAAAACCGGCTCCTATTGTTACCCCTCTTATGGAATTCATACGGCAAAAGCGTGCTACTGTGATTGGATCTCAGGTACGGATACGTAGTAGAAAATCAGAGCTTTCCTAGGACAGATATCTTTGTAGTTTTCTGTTGCAAAATGGAATTTTCTTTTGTTCATCTCTGGTTTCTGTTCACGCAACAGGGTTTATTAGATGTTCGAAGAGGAGGTAGAAGAGCCAGAGCAGTCTCGGCAAACAAGCCTAGTTCAAGGCCTTCGAAACGAAACTGTGAAAAGAAAAAGGTGCGTCTCTGACTTTGTAAGAGTTTATACTGAATAGTCGTTGTAGTCTTGCCATTTCACTCGTATGTTGCGATTTTTTCTAGTGAACTGACACTTGTGTCCTTTTTCAATCTATTAGTAATAGACTATTACTTTTCTTAATAGTATGTGGAAAAGGACAACTCAAAAAGCGTCCGCAGCTCCAAGCAAGATTATCATCAGCCGAACTCAAGTGGAAAGGACATACAAGTAGCTGAAACTGGTAACCAGTTAAAAGCTATATGTATTTTCCCAATTAGTAAAAGACCCACAGTACTTCTCATCTATTTTTTTATCTACACAACTGCAGCCTCTGTCATGGATAGCTCTCTCCCAGGGATTTCATTGACTATGGATTCTGGGAAGAAAAAAATCTTGCTCCTGGAAAAAGACCGAGACAATCCTGTTGTAAGATTTTAAGAAAGTTGTGCAGAACAAATGCATTGGTTTCTTTTCTTTTTTTGTCAAGTACTTTGATGGTTGTAGACAGAAACATAAGTCAATGTGTGTTGAAACGGCTTTGCAGAACTCTCCACCACAACCGGAACAGCAGATAGAAACTAATCTCTCCTCGACTTCAAGACAGAATCAGAAGGTTGATGTCGGTGGGAGATTGATCAAGGGAATACTTGTGAGAAATGAGCAGCGACATAGCCAGTCTTCAACTTTTGTTCAGCCTGAGCCAAGAGTGGAACCCTCAGAAGCAGAAAACTGCAAACGTCCTTTTCGAGCAGGTTATAAAGGAGTAGGATTAGGATTTCTGTCTAAATGTTAACTTCCCAAGTTAGGCTGATAATTTAAAATACAGATAGTAAATATGCAGGGAAAGACTATCATGTTTCTTGTGTCAACAGTGAGAAGCAAGAGAGGCGTCCAAGAAACAAGGACAGACCTGATCGTGTGGTGTGGGCTCCTCTCCGTCGCCGCTCACGGGTCTAATAACAGCGAAGACCAACTTTCATCTTCAGCAGGTTCTGTCCCTGTTGTTGACCAATATCTAACTAGTTTAATTTGTATGGTCGTGCTCCATGACATCTCAACTCATGTTGTATATGATCTTACAGCAAACGATGGAAAAGTGAAAGAGAGGACGTTGTTGCAAAGATCTGGAGAAGTGGTGAACTCCTCTGGTGGACACTCTCCTGAGAATTGTTAGTTTATTTGAAGTTGTAGTCTTGTAGACTGCATAATGTGCCTTGTGTTATAATATGAATCACGAAGAGTGATGCCCTATCCAGGTTCTGCTAGACATTCTAGTCGCCGTGTTGGAGCTCGCAATAGAAAAGAAGACGGCTTTGCCGTGACTGGTGAGGGTAGATCATCGTGTAGAGGAGGTGGTGGTGGTTCCAATTCATATGAGGCAAGCCAAACTAAAGTCTTTTCATTACGCCGTATAATAATAAATCTTATACTCATTATTAGAAGACTTATTTTGCTGTATTGCAGAAGCAAAAATGGATCCAAAAATCATCAACGGGTACTTGATATATTTGCTTATGATATGGTAAGCTGAGTCGCACGCACCCTTTACCTTGTATTGCTTTCTTCGTAATTGTTAGATGGAATTGTCATCACAATGTTATGATTGTTCTGACCTTTCAGGCTTTAAACATCAGCCAGTTCCAATGAATTTTGTCTTTGAACGGGAGTCTATAGATCTGAATGGAAATGGAGAGTAACAACACTATCAACATCACTCGGGTTTTTGGAAATTTTGGTCCATCTAAGTCGTAGTATTGCACATAAAAGAGACCCTCTGAAAGTAGGAATAGGAATCAGGTTTGAGACAAGAAAGACTCGGTTGCTTCTAGACGTTCATGGTGCCTGCAACCCCTTTTGGCCCATGCTGTGTTACAGACAAGTGGGTGAGAAGTGAAAAAAAACTTACTCTCGAGTCTCAAGTAATGAAATAAAGTCAAAGTGTATAGGGAGCAGGGTTCTGGTAGATTTCGTTATCTTAAAGATGTAAACTCAGTTGTATTGAAAAATTTGAAAGTGAATACAAAGTCAAAATACTCAGTTTCAAGTAAACCATTGCTCCAACATCAAACTCCACATCACGTCTACGACCATCAGCCGTATGTTTCATCAATTCCTGAGCTCGCAATAAGTTCAGCTTAATCTGATCCAACATCTTATCCATCTCCCTTAAAGACGCTTCTAACTCAAAATTCTTTGTAAAATCATCCTCAAAACGCAGCAAAGCAAGGGGCTCACGACCATACAACACCGAGAAAGGAGAAGCTTTCAACGATGAATGAAATGAAGTGTTATACCAAAGTTCTGCCCAAGCCAAAAACTTAAACCAAGTTTGAGGACGTGAAGAAGCAAAGCACCGCAAATACGTTTCCAAGCACCTATTAAGCACCTCGGACTGACCATCAGTTTGAGGATGGCAAGCCGTGCTAAACTTCAACTTTGTACCAGCCAGCCTAAAAGTATCGGTCCAAAATTCACTCAATAAAATGCGATCATGGTCTGACACAATACTCTGAGGAAACCCATGTAAACGCACCACTTCAGTAACAAATTTTGTAGCCACATCCACCGTAGAAAAAGGATGTTTCAACCCCATAAAATGTCCATATTTACTCAAATGGTCCACAACCGCCAATATGACATTAAACCCCTATGACGATGGCAAACCTTCAATGAAGTCAAGTGTAATGTCTTCCCAAACTCGTGTCGGCATAAGTAAGGGTTGTAACAGACTAGCTGGTGATAGGGTCGAATATTTATGAGTCTGACAAACCGTACATTCCGATACATGTTGCTGAACACGTTTAGCAATGCCCTCCCAATAAAAACTCTGTTGAATCCTTTTCAACGTCTTCAAAACCCCCGAATGTCCCCCCAACTTACTATCATGATACTCATTCAAGATCAGAGGTATGAAACGTGAAGACCTTGACAACAACAAACGCCTCTTATACCATACACGGCCATCGACCACCTGCTAGTTAGGATTAACAATAGAACCATCCAATAACTTCTGCTTCAAGTTACCAATCTCTGCATCTTGATCCAATTCCTTATAGATATCTTGCACTTGTAATACTGCAGGAATTCTCAACGCCAATAAAGAAGAACCCACAGAAGACTCCATACTCCAAGATAAGCCATATACGGCTTTGTTCTCACACCCCGGTTTATAAAAGATCTCAAAATCATACCCCAATAGACGAGTGAGCCGGCGTTGATACTCCATGTTAACCTCCTTCTGTTCCAGCAAATATTTGAGACTGCGTGGGTCAGTATGCACAACAAATTTCCTGCCCAACAAGTAATGCTTCCACTTCTGCACGGCCATTACAACTGCCATCAGCTCCCTCTCATAAGCCGGTTTTAACATTTCCCTCGGTGTCAGCGCATGACTAAAGAAAGCGATTGGATTCCTATCTTGCATCAGTACTGCTCCTAAAACAAAACCGGAAGAGTCATATTCAATGATAAACTGCTTTGAAAAATCAGGTAAAGCAAGTACCGGAGCTGAAACCACTGCTAATTTGAGCTTCTCAAATGCTTGATCAGCCTCAGATGACCATACAAACTTATCCTTCTTGAGAAAATGCGTAACGATCTAGCCAAAAATCCATAATTCTTGATAAAGCGCCGATAGTACACGGTAAGACCAAGGAAACCACAGAGCTGCTTAATCGACTTTGAAGTTGGCCATTTCTGCATTGCTTCTGTCTTGGTGACTTCCGTCGCTACACCATCAACGGAGATCACATGTCCAAGGTACTCAACTTGCCTCATCCCAAACACGCACTTCTTCTTGTTAGCCAATAGATGGTTTTCCTGAAAAACCTTCATCACTGCTTCCAAATGGTGCACACGTTCCACGACAGATTTACTGAATACCAGCACATCATCGAAAAACACCATAACAAACTTACGAAGAAAAGGTTTGAAGACCCTATTCATCAAAGCCTGAAACGTGGCTGGCGCATTAGTCAAGCCAAAAGGCATGACGAGAAACTCATAGTGGCCCTCCATGGTTCTGAAAGCTGTCTTCGGAATGTCCTTCTCAACCATGCGGATCTGATGGTATCCAGATCGTAAATCAAGTTTTGAAAACACCACTGAGCCATGTAATTCATCCAACAGCTGATCGATGACAGGAATAGGAAACTTGTTCGGGAAGGTGACACGGTTTAAAGCTCTATAGTCCACACATAAACGAAAGCTATCATCCTTTTTCTTCACTAATAACACAGGACTGGAAAATGGACTGTTGCTTGGTCTGATTATCCCAGCATCCAACATCTCATTAACCATATTTTCCATAACTAGCTTTGTTGTATGTGGATACCTATAAGGCCTAACCGATACCATTGTCACTCCAGGAATGAGCTCAATAGAATGTTCAGTACCACGAAATGGTGGTAACTGTGTTGGCAGGTCAAAAACTGAGTCAAAAGCAGCCAACACTTTAGTCACTTCCAATGGAATCTCTGATATAGTTGATGATGCTTCCCCACTTGCACATAACACCTCACCATCGTATGCAGCAAGAGAGGAAAATAGGTCGGTGGCTTGAATACATGAGGAGTACAATGTAAATTTAAATCCCCCCACAAAGTAACTCGCTTCCCTTCGTAGACAAATGAGAGTTCCTGTTTCTTCCAGTCAACCTCGCATTTGCCCAGAGTTTCTAGCCACTGAATACCAAGAACAACATCAACTGATCCCAATTCCAAAGAGATGAAGTCGACAGTAAAGTTAGTAAAGTTAAGTTGAAAGGATACAGATTGACACACTCCCAATCCTTTCACGATAACTCCATTGCCTAACAATACATCTAGACTGCTATCTGCATAAAATTTCAAGTGCAGCCTCTTCACAATTTCTAGGGAAATGAAATTGTGGGATGCTCCGCTATCGAGCAAGACTATCATCTCTAAATTACCCATCCTTCCTTGTAACTTTGTTGTCTTTGGTGAACTAATTCCCAAGAATGCGTCGTACGATAAAGTTTTAAGCTCAGTATTAGTAACCACCAATTCCCTCGTACCATCATCTTCCTCATATATTTAAATTTCCAGTTCGAATCCATTGATCACCGTCATAACACGTAGCTCACGATCTGGACAAACAGCAGCATGAGTTCGTGACCACTTAGCACCACATTTAAAACACACACCTTCTCTTCTCATATTATCTAATTCAGCGTTAGTGTACCATTGACGTGGTCTCAGTCCTCCTTTAGTACTAGCTCCAACATCCCTATTTTGTTTCAACTCCACAGCCACAGTCTTGGACTTGTCATTAGCAGTAGCCATAGTAGGCGTGGAAGTCTGAGGTTGTTGTTTAGACCATGGACGAGAACGAGAATGGGATGAGTTATTAGCCTCACTCACCACCTTACATAACGTACTCGTCTCCATACGTAACACTGCAGCTATGTAATTAGACAATCCTTGAGGCTCTTTCAAACGAATCACCTCTTTCATCTCCGGTGATAAACCGTTGTAAAATATCTTCTCCAAGTGGTGATCTTCTAAATCTGGAACCTGAGCTGAGAGGCCTTCAAATTCAGATACATATGCTGCCACTGAACCAGTTCGACGAATCGCAAATAGCTTGGTTTCTGGCTCCTCATCAATCGACTCTGCAAAACAGATCAACATCTGGTGCTTAAAATCCTCCCAACTATGAAATCATCCCCTCTTTGTCACCCACGCAAACCATTTCTTTACCATACATTTTAAACATAACGGCACCAGATCTAATTTTGCTTCCTCCACATATCTGCCAATCATAAAGAAATGTTCTACATCCACAATCAATTCATAACCACCAGATCCATCAAACACAGGCATCTCGACCTTCTTTAACATACTATCACGACTTGCAACATTCATATCCTCAGATTGATAACCTAACGGAGTGTGACGATTACGATCCCTGAACGAAGAAGATACCTGAGGTGTATACGCTACTGAGGACGACCGTTGCGGAGATTGATGCATCGGCGTCTTTCTAAACGCCTTCGTCAATGATTGAATCGAAGAAGCCATCTCCGAAACATCATGCTGCAACGACGTCAGCGTCGCATTCGTCGTTGCATTCACATCATTCAATTTCATATACGCTCCCATCAGAAACTTCAATTTCCCTTTCGTTTTCTTCTCCCGATCATCGCACTCGTCGGAGATCTGTGACTGTATCAGAGAACCACTCGTCGAAATTGTCTCGCATTGAATCGAACTTTTCACCGCACCAACGATAGATTTTCGCTATCTCAAAGATGTAAACTCAGTTGTATTGAACAATTTGAAAGTGAATACAAATAGTTCGAATCTCTCTCTCTACAAATACTCAACAATTGCAAACTCTTATCTCAAGATCTCATCACGATCTTGAGCTCAGACTCATAGCGCCTAAGAATTTACAACAATCAAGCATAACCAGAAAGTGACACTCTCTCTCTTTATTTAAACTTCGATCACAATCCACGCTCAAGCTTCGAACGGCAAACCCTCTGTCATCCCCTGAGTGTTTGCTTTCCCTCCACTTGATTTAAACAGCAAATCCTCTGTCACACCCAGAGTGTTTTCTCTCCCTCCAACGGTTATGACTTCCAAACCTTCTTTCTCATTCCACATGTTTCCTTCTTCACTCAATAACTGCAACGCCTTCTCTTCAACCATCACTCTCGAATTCCTCCTAAAATAAGCTCTCGTATACTTATCAGGTTCCTGATCTTATACTTATCAGGTTCCTAAGCGGTCTCGGAACGTGATTTGCAGGATTGATACTAATTTGATTACTGTGAAGTAAATTTATTGCTGTGTAATATTTATCTTGTGGGACTGGGTTTATTTCG